AGGGACACTTGGGGAGACAGGACAAAGCTTTCTAGATAAGCCTGGTTTTTATCAGCCTATAAAAAGACCACTTTCACTCTACTGGCTCCTTCTCCAGGCTCCTGGGAACAGATAGAAGGGTGGACAAAAGGAAGGCCCAGAGGACAAGGGAGGGATGGGTCGGTGTGGGGGGCACTTGGAGCAGGGGGGGGAAAGAAGCATTTCGGGGCTTCAAGGCTCAGAAAAAGCCAAGAATATGTTGCAGGCTTTATTCCACCCGTAAACTTCCCACCCTTCAGACATCTATCCTTATTTGAAAAATTTTTTTAACGTTTATTCATTTTTTTGATAGAGAGAGCGCGAGTGGGGGAGGGGCAGAGAGAGCGGGAGACACAGAATCCCAAGCGGACTCCGGGCTCCGAGCGGTCAGCACAGAGCCCGACGCGGGGCTCGAACTCACGGACCGCGAGATCGTGACCTGAGCCGAAGTCGGACGCTCAACCGACTGAGCCACCCAGGCGCCCCATCCTTATTTTATGGCACGGAGCAGACAGTCCTGTGCCCTTCACTGATACCTTGTATATTTTCTGTCTATGCCTCCGCATCTTTGACCCTGGGTCTGCTTAATACCTTCATATACTTTACTCAGCAAGTATTTATCTAGCATCGACTATGTGAATGGGATGGGCGCCGTGATCTCTGTCCTCAGCAGCTTAGAGTCTAAGGTGAAGACAGATAATGAACAGGCACATAACAAAAATGATAGGAGGCATAACCTTGAGCCAGCTGGGGGCAGAGGGAATAGTGTGTGCAAAGGCCCTGAGGGAATAGCATGTGCAAAGGCCCTGCGGTGGAAACAAAGTTTGGTACAAATGAAGAACAAAGAAGAAGGGGGATGGAATGTGGAGGAAGAAAGGGGGCCAGGAGGTGAGGTGAGAGGGGCAGGCAGGGGTAGGCTCGTGCAAGGCCTTAAATATATGAGGAGCTGGTGTTTTATCCTCAGACTTTCTTTTAATGTTTATTTGTTTTTGAGAGAGAGAGCGAGAGCATGCGTGTGCAAGTGGAGAGGGGCAGAGAGAAGGGGGGGGGGGACAGAGGATCTGAAGTGGGCTCCGAGCTGCCGGCAGAGAGCCTGACGCGGGGCTCGAACCGTGAGATGGTGACCTGAGCCGAAGTCGGACGCTTAACTGACTGAGCCACCCGGGAGCCCCCGATCCTCGGTTTCCCCACATGTAAAATTAGCGCTGGACTAGTTAGCAGGAAGGGCCCACTAGAGAGGGTCCAAAGGGCGGGACCATGATGGGTCTGTGGCAAAGCCCTTGGGGGCTCTGCGGAGGGTGGCTGGGAAAGAGGCGGGTTGCAGATGGGTTTCTCCCCCCCCCCCCCCCCAACCCGCCCGCTTCAAGACCTGCCCGTCCTTCCTCCTCCGGAACTGGTGACCGCAGCTTGGGTTGGGCTGTTGGATCAAGGGCTCCCTCCAGTGGAGCCTCCCCAGGCCTCAGAGAATGATTCACGGTGGTGCCCACCCAAGTATGTCTTCCGGTCGGGGGGGTGGGGGCAGCCTCTGAGTGCTCCCGTTTTGGAGACCGAGAACGACCGCAGTAGAGACGCGAGGGTCCAGGCTGCGGGGCGGGGAAAGCGGGTGGGCTGTGGACGTGGGGACCGGGTGCAAATCCTGGTCGAGCGGAGGTAAAATGCGTCTGTGGGTGAGAGTGGGCGCGCCCCGGGCCCCGCGGGCTGGTGTGTGTGACTCAGGGGGGAAGGACTGCCATCGCGCGTGTGGCTTTCTGGGCGCGACCGTGGGCCCCGTTTGCCGTCGTACGTGCGGCTGAGTTCACGTCCGCGCAGGGGCAGACGTGCACTCGCGGGGGGTGGTGGGTGACCGACCACGAGCATGTGTGTGTGCGTGGCAACGAGCGGGAGACTGGGCCCGTGTGACGGAACAGGCGTGTGTGTGTGCGTGTGAGATGGAACCGGTGAGGATGTGCACGTGAATGTGACGAGGGCCATGTGTGCGTGCGACCGTCGCTGGCCCCAGGTGCGAGGCGGTTGGCTCTGCCCGCCGTGATCGTGTGTGTGTGTGTGTGTGTGTGTGTGCGCGCTGTGAGTGACTCCCAAGTGGCCGGGCCTGGGACACCTTACGTGTGACCTCTTGAAGACTGCATACCCTACCAGTGAGTGGCATCACTGAGGGGCCAGGCCACTGGGCTTGGGGGAAAGCTGAATCCCCCCCGGGCACCATGGAGCAGAAGTGGCTTTTAGGGCCAGAAACTACGTTTAGGGCTGGAGGGGGATGGGGCCATTAGAAGGCCTGGCTCAGAACCCAGGGTGAGCGCTGTGCTCCTGCCCCAGGCCCCCAGGCCCCCAGGCCCGCAGGCCCCCAGGCCCGGGAGGGTTTGGGCAAGCCACCCTGCCACCCTTCCAGTGCGCCCCGGTGTCCTCAGGGCTATGCCCGGTTCCCAGGAAACGCCTGTGGGATTTGCTTCCAAATATAGACTCTGGTGGCCCAGCCACCTTGTGGCCGGGCCCCTCTGGCCTCCTGACGGAACTTCAGCTGCTTTTCAGGGGGCCCAGGCCCGCAGGCCTCCACTTAGAGCTGTTGGTAAAAATAATAATCATAAAAGTGGTCAATAAAAATGGAGGGGAGCTGAACGTCGCCTGGGTTATGGGCCCAGGACACCACTTGACCCGTCGTGATGTTTGACACAACAGCAGAGAGATACGCACGCTTTCTCCTCAAGTGACACACGGTCGTGCAGAGAGACTGGAGGGTGACGTCCTATTCAGTCACACGGAGGGAGACACACAGCCCATGCCCCCAGGTGGACCCCCGAACCTCCAGCTTTGCTCCAGGAGGTGGAGCCTGGGAAGGGGGTCGGGAATTCAGGAGGATCCGTCCTGGGTCCTGGCCGTCCTGGCCGTCCTGGCCGGTGCTCAGATTCAGGTGCTCTGGGGTCAGGCCCTCACTCCCGGGTCCTGGGCACTCACCAAGATGCACCAGGAGCCCGCAAATGGGGCCCCTGGGAAAGCTGTTGGTGGCGAGGACCTGGCCTCTGAGTGGTCTGGGAGGAACTGGGAACGACCCAGTCTGTCTGCCGGCATCCTGGGGTGGGGGAGACAGGGGGGTCTGGAGAGGCGGCAATCTCCCAGACAGCCAATTGTGCAGGGGGGCGGGAAGACTCAGTCCCTGGACAGCCAAGGGGCCGGCAGGTGCCAGGTGGAGGAAACTGAAGAGTGACAGCTGGAGAGCGGGGACCCCCTGAGCCTCCCTTTGGGGCGCTCCTCTCAGGCTTTGGCTCTCCAAGTCCCTACCTTCGAGAGAAGTCCTTCCCTTCCTGACTTGCGGCAGCCAGCGCTGCACCAGGGGCTTGCCTGGGAGGAGTGGGCACAGGGGCAAGCAGGTGGCAAGAAGAAGGAGGAAAAGCGAAAGGCCACCTCTGGGGAGGCCTCAGGACTGACATCAGGTCTCGGGGTCTGGGATCTGGAGCCCCTGAAAGGGCTTGGGACCTTCCTGAGACCCGCCGGTGGGACCCCGGAGGTGCGGGACTCTGTGGACGCCCAGGGGTGCAGCGGGGAAGATGCATAGAGGGAAGGGAGGGCGGAGCGTCTGGGAGGGGAACCCAGGCAGCTGCGGTCCCCGCGCCCTTGCCTTCGAGGGGCGCCCTTGGCCGCCCCGGACTCGCGGGCGCCGCTTCGTGTGCACTGGGGAAGCGACTGGGGTTCCCTTTCGGGCTCCAGCTGAAAGCACAGAGCCTAGACACTGGCGAGGAGCTGAGTGCATTTCGGCAAAGGCTGTGTGACCCGAGCAAGCCTTCACCCTCTCTGAACCTAATTCTTCGTTTTCGTTTTTTTTTTTTTTTTTAAACGAAGTCGTGCTCATCTCTTCCCCTTCCCACTCCCCCATATCCCGCGCACCCCTATTTGCCTCCAGTGGGTCCTGGCTTGAGGCTATGGGGCCACGGTCTGGGGACAGAACAGGACGGAGAACAGAATGCTGAGGTTTAAGGAGGAGACTGTCCGCACCTCTACGTGCTCTCTCTTCCACCCTGCTCAGTTCTGGGGAACCTGGGTCTGATGCCCACACAGACCCTCTTCTGCTTCCTCCGAGGGAGGGAGGAGAGAGGGTGGAGACGTGCCGGAGATCAGAGCCATTACCCCAAAGGCTAAGCCTTCCGCAGCCGCCTTAGTTTGACTGCATGTGTTTTCAGATGCGTCAAAATGCTCCCACAACGTAAAGGGCCTCCTCCCTTCCCCCTGTCTCGTAAGAGAGTTGCTCCCGGCTTCTGGAGTCACACTGCCTGGGTTCAAATCCCACCAGAGGGACGCTGTGGCCAGACCCCCAGGAGTCACCTCCTCACTGAGCTTTTCAGAGATAATGTGTGAGTGAAACCACCTTACGACAGCTCCTGGCCTGCTGTAAATGTTAGCTACTGTCAACACCTCAAATGCTAGATTTTTGAGCCTCAAATACCCACATTTTTCTCATCGTGGCTACGGGACAGGGGCGGTGGGGGGGGGGGGACTCGAGCAGGACTTTTCTGAAAATATTAACACAAGATGCTGGAGAGGAAAGAGAGGCAGCCGCCTGGGGCTCAGCCTGGAAAGGGGCGGATGGGGGCACTGACGAGCCAGCCAGGAACTTTGGGGGACATTAGATGCCCCCCGTGGAAGCTGAGAGACAGGAGTTAAGTTTTGTCTTTCCTGACCAGCCTGGAGACGGGTGGCGTCCCCTGCAGAGAGCGAACCAAGAAGGGAGGACCCCAGAGGAGGAGTCACCGAGACCCAAACCCACGGCCCTAGGTCTCAGCCGCCCCCCCCCCCCCACAGGCCTGCAGTGCTTCTCCTTGAGGCCTTCTCTCTCCCTCTAGCTCCCTCCATGGCCTCCAAGCCGGTCAGTGCCCTGGATCTTTCTCGGAGCTTGCTGCCTGAAAAATGGAGCCGGAAAAGTCGCCTGTATCGTGCACTGCCCACCCCCAGAAGAAAGATGGGTATTTCCCGCTGCAGGTTCAAGCAGAAAGCAATGCAGGCCAACGTGCTATTTTAATGTTGTTTATATTACACCCACAATGGAAACTGTTCCCTCTAAAAGGAGTATAATGTATTCTTTCTCTCAGTAAGGCCTTGCCCACACGAAAGCCACAAATTTCTAGTTCCTGACTTTCCTCCTTCCACTGAGACGTTAATCCAGGCAGGCGAAAGGGTGGTGTGCATGTATGCGGGGACCCTCGAAAGCAGAGATCGGGGTGAATAGTATATGCGAAGAGACAGAGACTCAGCACTCCTGGTCGCTGACCCGGTCCCAGGTCGCCGGCTGAAAATCTGGGCTTGAGGGCTTGGGCGAAAGCATCCCTGTACGCACCCCTCGGAGGTCACGGTCGTCAACTCCAAGTGGGGGCTTTTGCTCCAGACCTGGGCCCACCCGCAAAGACGGCACTAAATCTCGATTTTTCTCCTCCGTTTCCAAAAGGGGGTGGTTTTTCAATCCCTGCCGTGTTGAATCTGTGGAGGAGGCTCCGGAAAGCCAAGAGCCCCAGAGTGATGGGTGGGAGAAGAACCTCGAAGACCTCGGAACGTCCAGATGGTCCTGCGGGTGCCCCATTGTTGAGAGTGTGGACGGGACTCCTGGGTCGCCATGGCGACCAGGAAGACAAGCCCAACCCCCCCCCCAAAACGGTCGCCAGGAAGTTTTCTTTGCCACCAACCTCTCTCTGTTGCACCCCACGAAAGCCGTGGTCAGTTTCACCCCAGGGTTTTCCGGGTGTGATGGCGCGGCAGCAGCTAGGCGTCTGGAGGCCCCTGCTTCCGGATCCTTCTGTCGAGGCTGCCCCCAAAGACCAGAAACCCAGCACCAGGAGGCCAGGGGGGACCCGCTGCGGCGCTCAAGGCCCCGGGGCTGAAAGGGAAGAAAAATTAGAGGTCTTGACCAAGCAATCGTTTTGGTGACGGATCCTTCCAGTTTGGGGTCTGGCCCCCCCTTGTCACCCCGCACCCCCACACGCGTCCCTTCACCTCCTCAAGGTCATTATTGGAGTTTTCACTCGCAGCTCCCCGGCGGCGCAGCGTGGCCACTCTGTCCTTCACCCCCACCTCCCCTGCACCGGGTGCCGAGCTCCTCCCGGGGCTGGGGCCTGTGGCCGCTGCCCTGGCAAGTTTCTCGGCCAAAGAGAGAAGCAAGGGATGTGAGGTGTTGCCATGCAGATGATCAAACTGGCTGTTCCAGGGTCAGTAAAACAACGGTTTAGGTTCTCTTGACCCAGGTAGGTCCAAGTCTGAAAGCCGGGTCAAGACCTCAGGGATTTCCAAAATCACTGGCCTGGCTCATTTTGGCTCTAAAGTCAATGTTGCCTAATCACTGGCTTGACTAGGAGGTACTAGCTGCACTTTCTTAAAGGGGTGTGTGTGTGTGTGGGGGGGGTGTTAGGGTCCCAACTACTATCTCCTTTGTTTGCTTTGCGGCTCCGAGTTCTGCCTCTGCAGCGTAGACAGGAACCATGCCCCTTCCCCCCTAAAGAAAGCGCTTTATGAAACATCAGACTGAGTCCTCTCGGCGTGGACGTCTTGCTCTGTGAGGCCCGGGCTGGCTGGAAGGAGGCCCACGGGCAGCCAGCACCGGAGTCGTGGTTTCGTCTCTGGTTTTGAATCCGGCCCTTTGAGCAAGCTTAACACGTGTGGATTTAATTTCCCTTTCTTTCTCGCTTTCTTTTCTCCCCCCCTCCCTTGTGAGGGACTAAGAAAAATAGTCTGCCTTGTCGACAGCACGACACCGTTCCCTTTGCCAAAGAAAATTTGTCTTTCCAGAGCCCTGGAGAGCAGCGGGTTCCCAAGTTTCCACAGCACCCTCCGGTTGAGGGAGGGGGGTATCCAGACAGGCTCCCCGCCAGACCTGGAGGTATTAGCCCGAGTCTCTATCTTACTGGGTCAGAGCCCTGGAATTTAGTATATATTTCCCCCATGGCTTTTGGGGCTGTGGGCACATGCTGACTGCACGGGGTGGGGTGGGGGGCTTTCTACAGGTTCTAGGCTGCAGGGACAGATGGAGTTCTCAGGCGCAGTGCAGCCCACTGGGGTAAGAGGGGGTTCCAGGCCCCCCTCAGTTCGAGACTCACCTTTCTCCTCCACTGAAGACTGCTTAAATTGGAGGGGCCAGAACAAGATGCCCCTTTTACACCCCAATCACCTTCTCTGCTCCTTGGGAGCTTGCAAATCTCTAGCATCGAGATCTCACCTTCTAGATCTCCTTTTATTGCCCTGATGGGGTGGGGCGGGGGGCTTCATCCGCCAAATTTGGGGGAGCGGTGGGGGGGGGGAATGTTTCCAAAGCACAGGGAAGAACAACCTGGATAAGAGCAGTGGCAGTAATAATTCTCGGTGAAAATATTGGAGGAGAATATGGGATATTAAAATAATAGCCACAGCCAGTATGCTCCCCAGATGCTTCCGGTCAGAAGGGAAGAAAGGCAGGAATGGGCTAAAACACGGGGAAGGGAGATACCGCGAGGTCCTGGAAAAGAGACAGCAGAGCCAGATTTAACTAGGCGAGAGGGGAAATGACCCCCTGAGAAAACGAGGGAATTTCTCCCCTGTAGACCGACTGCCTTTTTTTGCAAAATGAGTCGGCCCAACTTTGGTTTGTCGTTATCTGTCGTTGCTGGAATCCTTCCTCATTTTCCCAGCCTTTTCTACTCTTCCCCCTCCCGTTTTGACTCCGGTAGAGACGAGACCCGAGTCAGGCAGGGACGCGTTGGAAAAAAAAAAAAAAAAAAAAAGCGGAAAAGATGGTGTCTTCCTAAGCCAGGTCATTTTTTTGAGAGGAAAGGGACGGTGGTCTGTCTTTCCTTCAGAAACACTCAACTTTCCTAAAACAGAGAGGCAGGAGCGAGAAAGGAGCAACAGCGGTCTCCCCTTGTTGGTTTTGTTTCGGGCTTTTTTTTTTCTTTTTTTTTTTTTAAGTGGGACCCTCTACTCCTCTACCCACGGTGATATTAAAAACAGGGCCAGACGTTTGCAAAATTGAGGAAAATGCATTTGGCGGGGTGGGCGCGGGGGGCGGTGGAGACCGTGCCGGGAGCAGGTCGAGGAAAGCGCGCGGATCCTCCCGAAGAGGGAAGGGAGGCTGCTTGGGGCGGCCGCTCTTTGGAACTTAACCGCCCAACGACCGGGGGAAAGAATGGAGATGCTCAAAACTGGGGGAGGTCTTTAGTGTATGCGGTCCGCGCTCCGGGCCTCCCCAGTGTCTGGGACAGCGGGTCCCGGAAGCCGCGGCTGCGGGATCCTTTGCGAGCGCGTCCGAGGGGCTGCGGGGACCCGCGCCGGGAACGCGGGGGAAGGGAGCCACAAGGAGAGGAGCTCTCGCCCAGCTCAGAGCTTCGCCTTCTCCTCCCAGCTCCGGCGGGGCCCAGGCCTCCGTTTCCGGCCCATCTAAGCCTGGAGATCAAATGGGAACCCATCCGCAGGCCTCGGGCGAAGGGTTTCGGCTTGCACGCTGGGCAACTGGGAGCAAACGCTTCGCCCCCAAGGGCCTCGGACTGGGGAAAAGATAATAGCTAGTAATCTGGGAAACGAAAGAGAATCCGGGGGAAGTCACTGCGGCCTGGCCCAGAGGAGAGACGCGGGTCCTGCTGGCTGGATACAGCTGAGTCTGCGGCCCGGCCGGCCCCGGGCGCCCGCGTCCAGCGCTGGAAACCACGGCCCGTTCTCCCCGCGGGCCTGACCTTAGCTCCCGGGGCCGCTCGGTCAGCTGCGTTCCTGACTTTTCGCTGCCGCTCCAGCCCCAGACGGACCGGACCTGGAGACAGGCCGCGCTTCGGAAAGCCAGGGGGGCTAGGGGCCAGCGAAACGCGGGATGGAACCCCCGCAGCTGGGGGCAAGGCCAGATCCCGACATCCGCTTCCCTCTGGGCCCCTTGGCGGGGAGCTTACCCTTGCGGAAGGCCCGACGCTCGCTCGCTCGCTCCCGGGCAGGCCTAGCTCTTCCCTCGGCGCCGCCGGGGGCGTCTACGCAGTACGTGTTCCCAACTGCACCCAGCGCGTTTCCAGCTGCGCGCGAAAGCTCGAGCGCATATCCCTCCACGGGGCGCTTAGGAGTTATGCCCATTGAGGAGACCAAGAATAATGATAATCGTTATTCCAGAACAAGACAGAGCGCCTCACCCTTTGCAGGCCCGGTCGCTGTACTTTTTCTGTGCAGAAAGCACCCCCTCTACCCCGACCCCTGCACCTACTCGCACCCCGCCCCCGCCGGGCCGCGCTGGGACGAGTTGCGTCCCCGGACCCGGCTAGAGGTGCTCCCGCAGAATGGACTTTTTCTCGGTAAGATACATTGCGGACGACCCTCTTTCTTCCCTCCAACGCCCTGGTCTCATTTCCTCTGCGCGATAACCCGGTAATTACTTGTATGCAGGTCTGCGAGCAGGCACTGAGTTATCGCGTCCCAAACATAACCAGCTAGAGCGGCGCCTGGATATTCGTTTGCCGAGAGCTCCTCCTCGGAAAAAAATAATTTTTAAATAATAAGAGGACTCTCGTGCCTCCTCCAAGGGACTTCGTTCCACCTCGGAACAATTTGATTTCTTCCCAATCGTGGGCTGAGATTGGCTCCCACCTCCCTTCGCCAAGAGCCCCCCTCCCCCTCCCTAAGAAAATCGATCTCGGTTCTATTTGTGCCTGATGTTCGCCACCCCCATTTCCCCCAGAGAGCGCTGGGTTTGTTTATTTCTTTATTTATTCCCGCGGCCCAGGCGTCTGGGACTTGTGGCTGCTCAGACCCGGGGCTGATAGGCGAAGACGGACAGAAATTAACCTCCCGCCGCTGCCCCCCAGTCGAGCGTGACAGCGCGCGCGGGCCGGTTGCGTGACTCGTGACGTCTCCAAGTCCTATAGGTGCAGCGGCTGGTGAGATAGTCCGTATCGCCTGGTTGCCTCTTTATTTTATTGGGGTATGCCTGGTAATAAATAGTAATATTTAATTTGTCGAAGACCACAAACCAGCCTCGAGCTGGGAGGTACCTAGTACTCTTGACAGACGCTGGAAGAAGGCTTGGCCTAAAAGGGGTCTCTTTTGGGGGTCCTTTGCAAAGTCTTCACCTGAACCCCCCCACTCCCCAGCAAGGCGCCACTGCTGGCTTCTGCGCTGGAAAGAAGAGGTGGGATTTTTGGAGGTGAGTGTCCCCTTGGACAGCTATGGGGGGGGGTAGGTTTCTCTCAGCACCTGACCTGCCTCCGGCCCCCTGCCTTCCCGCCCCAACTCAGCCCTGCTGAACCCCCCTCCCAGAGATGCTGTTTTTCACCGTGGAAATGAGAATGCACTCTTTGCATTTCGCCTTGGAGTGTCACCTGGCAAGAACAGATTCCCTTTGGAGGTTTCAAAATCCCAGTTTCTCTTGGTGGCCAGCACAAACTGCACTCCACCGACTAAGTGAGTCTGGCTAGGCAGTTACTTGGGGGAGTTCAGATTTGCCCTCCCGGGAGGGGCCTCCGAATTATTTATGGGAAATTCTTTTATCCGCAAATCTCTGAGAATTTAAAGGGATTGGAGAGGTCTTTCTAGATTTCCCCTTCCTTTTGCCAGAGATGCGGAGATTTAGGCTCATCCTGAAACCACGTTTGTTTTCCATCTTTGGCCAGGGGTCCCCTCCTTAGCAAGCCCAAAGTCCTCTGAGCTGACATTTTGGAAGGGTGAGGGTGTGTTTATAAATAAATAAACCGCCTTGGTGAAAGGTTGTTTGCAAACAAACCTGGAAGGCGGAGTGAGAACCGTAGCAAATGCTGGGCTTGGTCCTTCTCTCCCCCCCACCCAACCCCTTGTAGCCCCACTTTTAGGGATGGACAGTCCACTTTGTAATCTGGCAACGATGTGTTCCACCCAGATGGCCGCTGATCTCTCCAGGGCATTTCTCCCCTCTCGGTGCCTTTCCCCAGACCTTGGCCTGCAGGCCCAAGTCTCGAACCAGAGCCCCCAGAAAAGAATAAGGCGAGGGGGTACAGGAGACGAGGGTGGGAAACTAAGGGAACCCTGACATTTATTCGGAGCCTCAATGGTTGGTGCTCCAGACTGGGTCTGCTCAGGCTAAGACCTGCTCGCTGTGTTTACGCTTCTATTGACCTCTTCAACCCTCAAAATAATACATTTCAGAGACGGGGAGGGCAGGGAGAGGGGCCCAGTGGAGACGAAAACCCCAGCCAGTCTCCAATGACTGTTTGATTATTTTAATAAAACTGGGTACTGCCGCGTACATCTCCAGCCCGGGAGGTCTGGTGGCCCCGGGGGTGGGAGCCCCAGGCAATTTCTTGGCATCTTTGATCTCAGTCCCCATCCCCAATGCACCTTCACCCTGCCTTCACCCTGGAGTCGCTGAGAGCCCGGGTGGTGAGTGGGGAGGGGGAGAGATGTCAGGGCGGCTGTCGGCGGCCAGCCGGGCCAGGCGGGGTCATGCAGCTCTGTCTTGAGGTCAGCGTTGGAGGGAGAACGCGGGCCAGGCTTCAGAGGAGGCGCAAGGCGTGTGTGTGTGTGTGTGTGTGTGTGTGTGTGTGTGTGTGTGCGCGCGCGCGCGCGAGCGCGCGCGTGCAGCGTAGCGTTCAGACTCCGTTCTCTGCACAGCCGTGTCACCGAGATTACTTCCCGGGCAGAAGCCGACCGGGTTTGCGATGATTTGTGCAGGATTTTTTTGCAGCCACCGAGCCGAGCTCAGAGAAGCAGAGATGGATGGAGGTTGGGAAGGGGGTGGAGAGGAGGGGTGATCTCGAGGTCTGGGTTTGAGACTAGTGCTGTGATTTGAGTGTTCGGGAAATCTAGTGGAAAAGGTGGTTGGGGGAGGGAGTGGGAAGAGAGAGGGAGGGAGGGAGGGAGGGAGAGAGAGAGAGAGGGTGGGGGGGGCGGGAAAGAGGCAGAGGCAGGCCGCATGCAATGGGAGCTAGTTGGATAGGCAATTTCAGTACTTTGTAAGCATCAAGGCAGCCCAACGTCACTGAGCTCAGCTGAGTCGGCTTGTATTTCTGAGAGAGAGAGAGGGAGAGAGGCCCTTTTTCTTTGGATTCCAGAACTTTAACCCTGAAAGCGGCGCTCAGAAGGGACCTTGGCCATTCCCAACTTCCCAGCTCCCTCCGGTCTCCCAACGCTCCCTCCCGAGGGGTGCAAGTGAGCAGGGGGCCCTGAGGTTCTTCCCTCGAGGGTGCTCCCGGAGGCTGCCGCTTGCGTTCCTTGGAGCCTTTCTGGCGCCGGACAACTTGGAAGTCTTTAGGGAGAGCGAGCGAGCGAGCGAGCGCAAAGCGGAGGAGGTGTGTGTTGGAGGTGGGCAGGCTCCAGCGGTGGCCGATCCTTTGTAGGCAGCGGTAGCCGCTAGTCTGGGCGAGCCGTCCCCGGCATAGACCCCCACCCCCCACCCCCCACCCGGAGCCACCATGCCCGCGCCCCCGCCTCGCCGCCAGCTTCCCTGCTAGGAGCAAGAAGGGATGTGGTGAATGCACCGGCTTCACCGAGCGAGGTAACCGTCTCTGCAGATGGCCCGGGAGGCTCGGGAGGGAGCCCGCCGGCCGCGCGGGCTCCGGTGAGGCGCGAAACGGCGGCGGGACTGCGCCGAGCCCGGCGTTGCGGGGGATGTGGCGCGGCCCGGAGCTCCCCGGCGCGTGGAGCCAGGCGGGGAGGCGCGCGGCCCGGCGAGCGGCGGGGAGGTTTGCAGGACGCGCGGCCTGGTTCTGTCACAGCGCATCTAGCTTGTCTCCGCCAGCCCCGAGCTGCCGCCGACCGCGACCGGGGCGCGCGAGGGGACGGTCCCGGCGGCCCCCGGCGGAAGGCAGCGCACGTGGGCGACGCCAGCCCCGCGTTCTTTTGTTGCCAGCCGGCCGCGGGACTCCCATCACCGCCTCGCCCAAGCCCCAAGGGTGTGGTGAGGGAAGCCGCTGGGGAGTCGGGCCTCGCGAGCCGTCCTCGTCGGCCGCACTCCGGGTCTCCGGCCACCGCAGACCTGGGTGGGACCCAGCCTTTCGCTTCAGCGGCTGCGAAGCTTTGGGGGGGGGGTGGGGGCATCCTTGGCACCCCCTTCCCAGTGCAGCCCGGTGTGGGGGGAGGAGATCCCTACTTGGAAACGTGGAGGAGATTGGAAAGCGATCGGAGCGGGGAGGCAGGCTCATCCGGGCTTGAACAGTTCTGCAGCTGTTCCTTTACGTGCTTGCAACCCCGGCCGTTCTCCCCGTTGAGTCGGACCTCCGAGTTGGATCCAGCGCCTGCCGCCCAGGATTTGTCCGGGACCCATTTTGTCCTCCTCGGCCCGAGCTTGGGCCTGCATTTCCAGCGAGCCAGGCCCGGCTGAAGCTCGGAGAGACTCCCCTCGGCCTGGCTGCTCGTCAAAAACGCCCGTCTGGGCCGGAGAGCCGAGAAAGCCTGGAGATCGTGCAGCCCCGGCGGCCTGCAGAGCGCTGGCCTGCCGCGCCCAGCAGCGCGCCTCCCTCCCCACAGCTGCGCGGCCGCTCTCCTGCTTTTTCTGTTCGGCTACTTTTAATTTTTACCCTTGCTGAAGGTGGGGGGAAAGGGGAGGACTCTTACTGTTACGGGACTTTTCATTTTAAGGCCTGTAACTGATAAAGGATGAATGCGAATTCTCCTTGGGGCTGGGTCTCTTGATCTGCGTATCTTTCCCCCTCTAGGTTCTTGGTTTTGCAAGAGGCGGGTTACTGTAGACGTTTTGCCTGCTGCAGGAGAATATGCCTCCTGTGACTTTTAGTACACAGAGCCGTGATGTCCTTCTGTAAGTCTGACGGAGAAAAACAGTTCTCCAAAGGACACTAGGTTTTTGTTTTGTTTTTGGTTCGTGCCCAATGGCTTCCAAAAATACCCAGGCCTTATCTTTATTGGCCCTTCCAGAAGTCCAGACAAATTTGACGGGCAGCTGGCTTATCGTGGGGGAGCCTGCGCAGGGGAGATGCGAGCCTCGCCGCCTCCTCTCAGCCTGACCCGGGTCTTTTGCAAGAGGTTGTGCGTGGTCATAGAGTAATAACAACGATAATAATAACGGGACCTTCCACAGCCTCCTTCAGCTGAGAACGGAGGTGCTGGAAGCTGGACACTGGGGCCCAGCTGCGCCCTCCTGTCACTAGAATTGTACTTCCAACCTCTCTCTCTCTCTCTCTCTCTCTCTCTCTCTCTGTTTCCTGGCCTCAGAGCAGGACCCTGCTCGGGCACAGGGCGCCAGGCACACCATGGCCGACGCAGACGAGGGCTTTGGCCTGGCACACACTCCCCTGGAACCTGATTCGAAAGATCTACCCTGCGACTCCAAGCCCGAGAGCACGCTAGGGGCCCCCAACAAGTCTCCGTCATCCCCGCAGGCCGCCTTCACCCAGCAGGTAAGAAGACAGCTAGCCTAGAAGCCCTTTGCAAAAACCGAAGGCCCTCCTGTGGGGGAGGGGAGGAGGGTGGCTTGCCCGTTGCTCATAATTGTCCCCTTTTCCTTTTTATCTCCACTCATTCCACTTTCCTATGCCCTGCATCCCCCCACCCCCATTCCAGTATATTCCAATCCACTTTATTGTGACGATAATCTTTATGGCCAGAGGATTTTGGAAATACATTGAAGTTGTTATAGAGAAGCCTTCATTATCCGGCTATTTGGGGCCAGCTAACAATAGCCCAGATCATTCCTTTGCTGCTGCACTAGGTATAGGCTCAGCCCTGAGCACCTCATTAAGGGCTGGGTCAGCGGCTGCTTCAGGCCGGCGTGAGCGATGGCTTGACCCTTCTTCAGATCTTCCTTAGCCTTCGCCTCCGCCCGCCTTCCCCCGAGCCGCCGCCCAGACCCTCGAGTTGCACTATTTGTCTTGGGCCGGGCTCTGGAGGGCTGGCTCGCTCTGGCCGGTGGAGGGGAGCGCCGGGCCGTGCCAAGAGGTTGCAGGGAGCCGCAGGCTCCCCGGGATGGAAGCTGGGCCCCAGTTAGAGGGGGAGAGGCCTCCTAGGCCGTGTGCTCTGTGCCCTGTTCCCCCCAGCGCTCTGGGTGCTCCAGGCGGCCCCTGGAGCCCTCCCATAATTTTACATAAGGTGTCAGTTGGTGCAAAACGGGGTGACTTGGTCCGAAGAGATATTTGCATGTAGCTAAAGCCCTTCTTTGGGATTTCCATGGAGGTCCTTCCTGGCTACCTCATTGACTCCTTTTTCCCCTTCCCGGCTCAGGAAAATGCGTGAATAGTTGTAGAGCACAGTGGGTACACGGTTTGGGGGACTTCGATTTTCTTTCCGGAAAAGCAAATCTGCTTATTGAGACAGTTGCGGGTTATTGCAAAACGAAGGTTTCGTCTAGAAATTTTTTTGCATCGCCTCAGTAAAATTACTTTGAGCTGCATAGCGGAAACGTTAACCGGTTTCGGCTGCTCCCGTAATCAAAAAACAGCTCGAAACGAATGAAGTTGGGTGTGAGAACCTAGGAGGTTTGTGAATAGAGGCATCAGAGGATTAACTTTTTGGACCGTGGGAACCTCTTATACGATCTACACACAGTTTTCAGTTTACATTTTCTCTTACGGCCATATTTGCACCACCGCGAGACTCAACACGCATATATGCACTATTTGCACCCCATGGGAGTGGCTACGTGAGAATGTTCTGAGTGGGCCTTTTGAGGTGGAGTGTTTTTGTTTTTGCTTTTGTCTTTTAGTTGCATCTTGGCTAAAAGGGTTTGCGATTGGCCCCAGTTTTTTTGTTATTTTTTGTTTTTTTTCTGTTTTGGTTTTTTAAAGTCTGTTCTCATGGACGCACTAGAGGACCCTGATGGTTGGGGACTTTTCTCTAGCCTTGTGTTGGTGGCGTTAGGAGACAACAGGGCATCGTGGGGAGGTACTCGGAGCTTGTACAGGGATTCCTGGGCAGGGCTGCTGGTGCTCCAGGGCTGGCTGGGGGCAGTTCTCAGCCTCAGAGCCCAGAGGCTCCGGAGGGAAGGAGAAGTCTGTGTTTGGGGGGCAGCTGGGGGAAAGGGAAGGCCCACTGCTCCTGGGGCCGGTCCGTGTGACTTTTCTCTCCTCTCTCTAGGGCATGGAAGGGATCAAGGTGTTTCTCCACGAACGAGAACTGTGGCTGAAATTTCACGAAGTCGGCACAGAAATGATCATAACCAAGGCCGGAAGGTGAGCTGGCCACCTCTGCTGGGGTGGGTGGGGTGGGGGGCGCCTGGGCAACTTGTGGGGGAGACAAAGGAGGGAAGGTCTCGGAGATGTGAGACACAGAGACGGGGGCAGAGAAAAGAGAGCCTAGAGCAGAGCAGAGCAGAGAGAGAGAGAGAGAACGAATGTGTTTTGTTTGACCCGATTTTGGATAAAGATGCTTGGAGAATTCCTCCATTGACCTGCATCGCTGGTGGAGGAAACGCCTGTGGATTCACCTCCGAAACAGGGCATTTCTCCCACCTCGTATAGGAGAAGAATCCAGAGCTTTGGGGGCCATAATAAGTGGACGGGTTGGTCGTGGGAGAAAGTGGGACGGGCAGGGAGAGAAAACGGGGAACCGGGGAGGTGCGGAGTCGGCACGGAGATGAGACCCGCTCTCAGCCTTGACTCCTGGCCCCCACCCTCTGTCCCACCCTCCCTGACCTTGGAGCGGCTCCAGAGTCCCACCCGATTGCCAAACTCCGAACCGCTGAATGTATTCGCTACCTCTTTCATTGTTTATAGAAAGCGGGAGAAGCCTTTGAAACTGAACCGGGGCTCGGCCGGGCTCTATATATACAGACACCGATAAACACGGCAGTTTGGCCAAGACACTCACCCCAGAGTTCCTCTTAAAAGCTCGCAGGTTTTTTTTTTTTTTTTTTTTTTGCTAGAAACGCTAAACTTCTGGGGAAAGCTATTTGGAGGGTCATGCAACTCTGTATCCCAGGGGCGACTGTGTGTGCACGAGCCCAGGCCTGGGGACGTCCTTACCACAGGCCTCCCGGTGCCGCAGGGGCCCTCCGTGTCCCAAGGGCAGAAAGTCCGGAGTCCGCCCCGGACAGGCTCGTGAAGCCGGCCACCGAGTGTGTGAAGGGGGGGAGGGGGGAGCCGCCTCACCAGACGCCCTGGTTCTCCAGCCTGAGCCCCCCGCAATAAACTGACAACAGTGACATTTATTATTATTTGAAATTAAACAACGTTTGCTCCCCCGCTCGGCCTGAGTGAACCAGGAGGCGCGTTCTGTTTACACTGAAGAACTGAGTTCTTCTTCCCAATCTGCTCTGGAAGGAAAGACACGGCCCGGGCCCCCTCTCCCCCTCAGCCTGAGCTGAGGGGATTTAACTATAAAAGGCCTGGGAAGCCTCCCTCGAGCTTGCCTGCAGGCGCGGAGCTCAGGCAGATAAACACCACCGGGCTTCGGCTCCAAGGCCTCCCTTCGCTCACCCCTTCCCGCCATCCCTGGGTGAGCCAGGAGCCAGGAGCCCGTCCTTCCGCCCCGGCCAGCCTCGAACCCGCCTTCTGGCTTTCTGGGGAGCGCTCCATCCCCTCCGCGGGAGGGCTGGGAATCTGGAGCCCGCCCCGTGCGCGCTGAGGGGAGGGGGGGGGGTACAGAGCCTCGCAGACCCCGAAGCACCCGCCTGCCCCTGAGCCCATCCTGGTTCAGGGCCCGGTGTCTCCAAAACTGAACCCGGATGGGTTTTGAGTTTCTTTGCCGAGGGCCGGAGGGCTTAGACTCTCCCAGGAAGGGCACCAGGTGCCTTGGAGAAGTTGGGGGGCGGGGGAGTGGTGGGATTGAGGAACAAATGTCGGCCGGAGGCTCGTGGCAAGGTCACCAGCCGAGCTCTCCGCTGGGGGTGGAGGACCGACCCCAGGACAGAAGGTACACGGGTGCCCACGGGTGTGCACCCACCTCGGTGCCCGCATGTGGGTGCATAGCGGCCAACGCACCTGCCTGCACGGAGGAGGCCAGCTTTTGGCCTAAGAAGTCTCCTTCTGCCCCTAGATTAAAAAGTAGGTCTCTGGCTCTGAAAAGAGCATTTACAAAGAGCAGAAATGGAGGCCCTGGTTCTCTCTAGGAGCCCTCGCCTCCAGGTTTCTATTTTCCTCCTGGTTACAAATAATCACCAGCCTCCAGCTCACCTCGGGGCCTTTCTCCTCCCCAGAACTCACAGGGAAACCCGGAGTGGATTTTGGCAGGAGCGGAGCGGGGGTCACTTCTCTCCTGAGCGCTTGTCAAACTGTGGCTTCTCCCGTTAAAATGTGGGGACGCGCTCTTTAAAACGTTGGCATTAATTCTCTCTCTCTCTCTCTCTCTCTGTCTCTGTCTCTGTCTCTGACTTTCTGGGTCTCCCTCCTTTTCTCCCCTAGGCGGATGTTTCCCAGTTACAAAGTGAAGGTGACGGGCCTTAACCCCAAAACGAAATACATCCTCCTCATGGACATCGTTCCCGCGGATGACCACAGATACAAGTTCGCAGACAATAAATGGTAGGCGCCGGCGTGGGCAGTTGCGGGGGAGCAGGGAGGAAAGTGGGGGGGGACAAAAAAACCTCCTCCCCTCCCCCGCACCGAACGAAGCAACATCTTCTGAACTCCTACTGTGCCTTAGAGGCTCTTGCGGCTATCCCCACGCATCCTCCGGACCACCCCGAGAGGAAGAAACAGCAGCCCTTAGCCCCCATTTTATAGACAAGAAAACTGAGGCTCACGGGAGGTAAAGGGCTTGTTATCTGTTGCTGCAGCCGCGGGTGGTGGATTTTTCAAAAGGGTATTGTTTCCAAGCGCTGGAGGTATTTCTGGGGGCATAAAACCATTTACAGTTATTTTTTATGAGTTACCTGCTTTGAACATGCCTTTTTATGAAATTGCAAAGTCGGGCCGTGGTATTTGAGTCAAACAGGCAAGAGAGGAGAGGTCCATTCCTTGGGTGGATTGCTCCCCGTGGCTGCCCAGCGAACGGAGGCTCCAAGAGGAAGGCCCGTTTGAAAGCCCTCAAGGATTTTTCTTAGACTTTTTTTTTTTTTTTTTTTTTTTTTTTTTGTCCAGAGCCTTCCAGAACCCACCGATTGTTTGAGGGCCGCCAGGCTGCATGCCCCTGGTGCAGGGGAAGGAGCGAGGTGGAAGAAAAGAGAGCCGGGTGGGGGCTCGCCTGGCTACGGGCGTTCTGGGCGCCTGGGCTTGTAGATGCCAGGGGAGGGTCAGGACATTTCCAGATCATTCTCTTAGTCAGCTGCCCTCGCCAGCACCACGGGGCGCTAAGTCTGGGTGGGTTTCCGCCCCATCTCGGTCTAGGTCTGTGACGGGCAAAGCAGAGCCCGCTATGCCGGGCCGCCTTTACGTGCACCCAGACTCGCCGGCCACTGGGGCACACTGGATGCGGCAGCTGGTCTCCTTCCAGAAACTCAAGCTCACTAACAACCACCTGGACCCATTCGGGCACGTAAGTACCAGGAGGGCTCCTCCGGTCCACCCCTGCTCCCAGTCTCTCTCTGTCTGTCTCTCTTGTCCCCGCTTCTCTCCTCCTAGGGTTTCTCTCTCTTCTTGCCTCGTCACACTTTCAGCCGCTCCTTTCCTTGTCCCACTCCACCCGCCTGAGTCTTTTCCTCCGGGCTCCGGCCTTCCCTTCTCTTCCTTTTCCTCCGATTTCTCTCACCTTCTTCCCCTCTGGCTCCACCTCTCTCCTGTGCGGTCCTCTCTGTGGTCTGCTGTCCCAGGCTCTGGGGCCACCTTTCCCGGGCAACTGGAGAACCGGGGTCTTGCGGAGAGGGAAGTGCGCACCCCTGGCCTGGCCCCCAGTCCCATCGGTGATTAGGGATGGCGGCTGCGTTTCAGATCTTCAGAAAACACGGTCCTTCTAGCCCAGTGGGTACGCAGCACCCGCTGCCCAAAGGCTGGACCGTGGTGGGAGCCATAGATACCTTCCCTACTCGCTTCCAGATCTTGCCTTATTATTGAGACATTCTGGCTGAGAGGGAGACCCCAGGCCACCTGCTCCCTCTTTTACGGATGGGGAAGCCAAGCTGCCAGAGACCAACCCTGATATCCTTTTTAGCTGATACTTTAGGGTTTATGTTCCCCCCCCCGCCCCCGACTTCTAGCCTTCCTCACCCCCAGTTCCCAGGATGGGCTGGGCACCAATTCCCGCAGCCGGCACACTAGACCAGGGTCCTAAACCTGGAGTCTGGTTGGAGAGAGCAGCCTTGGTGAACCCCCTGAATCTGCATGCAGGACATTGCCCCCCGCCCCACCTTCCAAGAGAATTGTGTAGCTTTTAGCGGATTCTCTAGCTTTGAGTAGATTTCTCTTCACCAACGAAAAGCAAATGAAGAACAAAACGCCGATTTGGGGGGGAAATGTCTCTAGGTCTTTTCATTGGCAATAAATTAATCACCAAGACAGAACACGGTCTCCGGATTCAGTGTTCAAAGGCCTTAGCTTGCTGATTCCACCATAAAGTGGGCTGGTTGGTCTTAGGACACTTGACCCTCATGGCAGCCTAGAAACGAGGACAGAAATATGGGAGGGGAGGGGAGTTGCCCAAGGTCATGCAGCTTGTATGGGGGAGCAGAGATCGATCTAATTCCAAGGGTGGTCTCTGTCCCGCCCTGTGGTCTCTTTAGGGAAAATGAACAAACACATGGTGCCCAGTTGAGGGAGCTGGGTTTGCAAGGATTTGATCCAGAGGGGAGACGGTTTGGGAAGGTCCAAATGGGAGACTCTGGTCTCGTGGGGCCTTAGTGCTAAAACACTGAGCCCCCAGGGTCTGGGGTGGGGAGGGGACATTGAGTGCTTGCACCTCTGGTTGCTGGCCGCTGGCCGCTGGGGAAGAGAGAAGGCAGGCCCATTCCCTTCCTGTGCGGCGGGAAGGAGCAGGGGGTGCAGAGGGGCGTCTCTAGACAAAACGCCCGGCCTCCTTTCCGTTTCAACCAGGCAGTTTGCCCGCGGCGGCCGGTAGGCCGGAGCGTGCACTGCACAGAAATGCCGTCGAGCGTGCGTGGGCGGTCAGCTGGCCAGGGTGACGCGCACCTGCGGGCACCGGACCGAGACTTTAGCTTAAGCGCTGGGGAGAAGCGGGACGGTTTTGTAAGCGTCCGGCGTGCTACTCCCGCCTGGCTGGCGGCCTCCCGCGGGCTGGGTGCGGGGGACCCTTTTGTGGGGGGGGGGGGTCTCCGTGGAACCCTGGTGCGCGGCTGCGGGACCGTGCTCTGGCCCCACGTGGGCGCCTAGCTTTTCCCCTGCGGTGCCTTCTGTGGTCGCGATGGGCTAGGCGCCCGGGGAAGGCTCGCAGCCCCGCAGTCAGGCTCCCGCACCCTGGAGCGTTTCTGGTCCTCCCGAGGGCACCGAAGAGGGAGGGTGCTCCGGGCTGCCCTGGACTGCCCTTCGCAGCCCTCCCCCACCCCCCAACTCCGGACTTGGGGTCCAGAGCCGCCCTAATGAAATTAGGAGTCATTAGATCGCCCTCGCGCTGATGTCTCGACACTGTCCCCGGCCGTCAAAGCAATTTGGCTAAGCCGGGACGATGGCCGCGCCGGCCGGGGGCTGCGGCGGCGCGCGGGGCCCCGCTGCGTCTCTCTGTCGCCACGCCGCCCCAGCCCGGCGTCGCTATCGGCCAGGGAGGCGGCCGGACCGCGGCGGGCCGGAGATTAGAGCCGCGCGGCCCGGGGTCGGGGAGCCGCGGGGCCCCGGGTTCTCGCCCCTTCTCCGCTTCCCCTCCCCCTCCTCCGGGCGGGTCTCAAGGGTTGGCCCAAGGACCCTGCCCCAGGGTCATCAACGCAAATATCCAAGACACCGGGACAGCCTCCGGCCGCTCCAGTTGGCTGTCCTGGGGAGAAAGCAGGCCCGAGTTCCATCCTGCCCGTTGAGCGCGGCGATTGGCCGGTTCGGCGGGTTTCTCTCGGAGCGTCCTGATGCGTGTTGGCTTTCACAGCCTCCCGACATCATCAAAAACCCGGCGTCTTCAAAACAGCCAGGCCGGTTTTCCAAGTAAAGATGCTCATCTCCTAGGAATAGCCCTGTTCCAGCAGATGCCCCCCCCCCGCCCCCCAACCCCATACTGACTATAGTAGCTGGATTCAGGCTACCGCGGTAAGACCCTGTCTGCCCCGCCACCCCCCGGGGGTGTTCCCCAAACACGCAGAAGGCAGAAAGGAAGGAGAAAGAGCGCATTCCCCCCAAAAGGCAGATGCAGCCGTTCTCTGTCCCGCCAAATCTGGAGATCAGGCTCGTGGATCCTGAAATGTTGCCGACCTTATAGAAAGGGAACCTGGAAGGAAGCAGGCCCTCCTCTGCTGGGGGTGAGATGGGGGGGGGGTGACAAGGAGATGCCCCCCCCCCCCCAATCTCCCCCCCGGGGGGGCCCCCCCCCCCCCCTCCCATTATCCTCTTTTTTTTTTTTTCATCGACGCTCCTTTGCACAGTCTGCAAACAAAAGGTGATTTTTATTCCAGTTCTGCGAACTCTTGGTCTCTTCTTTATGGGGGGTGGGGCAGGGCGGAGGATGTTTGTTTGTGTCTTCTCCCTTTCACTCCAAAATTGATGCTTAGACATCTCCCCCCACCCCCGCCCCAACTCCAGGCACAAGTTCCCTGCTCCTGACTTGCTTTCCTCCCATTTGGGTGGGGGGGGGGGAGTACCTTATGCAGGAGTTAATTTATTAAGCAAACTTTATTAAGAATTCTGATTTACTGCCGTGTGTGCTTTGGGTAGATTCCCGGAATATTACCCGGGCTTTTTTGGTTGGAAATTGTCATTTTTGAAATGTTTCTTTTTAATGAAATCACTGGCCCCTTTTCAAAACAGGAGGGAAAAAATCAGACATTTTTTTTTTTTTTTTTGAGAGCCCGTATAAGGAGGCGAATTTTAGGGGTGGAAAGTGGGGTTTTTTAATCTGGAAACAAAGGGGTTTTGATTGTTCTTACAATTTCGTTTTCTTTATGATTTTTAGATTATTCTAAATTCCATGCACAAATACCAGCCCAGATTACACATCGTGAAAGCAGATGAAAATAATGGATTTGGCTCAAAAAATACTGCGTTCTGCACCCACGTCTTTCCTGAGACCGCCTTTATTGCGGTGACTTCCTACCAGAACCACAAGGTAAGCTGAAACCTGGGAGCTAGCTCTGGGACTGTCTGTTCGTTTGCATGAAAACAATTGTGCAGGGGTCTCGTGCTGGAACCTTTAGACTTTAAGGGATTCTTCGTTCCCTCGCTGAGGCGGGACAAAGCTACAGATCGAGGACTGCAGCTGTTTGTACTATGTTCACGTGTTTTGTATCACTCTCTCTGTCTCTGTCTCTGTGTGTCCCTCTCACACATAGACACACACACACACACACACACACACACACACACACACATGAACACACCATCAGACACAAGTTTTGTGTCTGCAGGTGCCCATGCGTCCAAATGCAACAAGAAAGCATCTCTCTGGTCTCATGAAGTATATGTGCTGCCGAAGCGAGCACATCTCTGGTCTCGTGAAGTATATGTGCTGCCGAAGCGAGCACATCTCTGGTCTTATGAAGTGATCACCAAGGAGAAAGGTCACTTTTGTACGTGGCTCCCTGCTCTTGGGTGGGGGCCCGGTGGTACCCTTCATGGAGCTTTTTTTTTTTGGTGGTGGGGGAGGGTTGGGGGTCTCTTCTCCAGTCTGTCTTTTGGATGCATTTCAACTTGAACTGGGACAAAGTTGCCAGAAGCCTTGGGCTTGGGTTTGCAAGATGCCTTCTCTAGTTAGACAAGACCCTGCACAACCACCGCTTGGGGAGGGGAGGGATACCTTGTTTTCAGGAAGCCGGCTGCAGTGTGGTGTAGACAGGGAAGGGTGCACATGGGTCCTGTCAACGACAGACCCCACGCTGTTCAAAATCCAGGCCCCGATTCGGGTATTTCCAAGCTGGACAATGATATGTGAACAGGGCACCCCATAACCGCAGGTTGGGGGAGTATCTTTTATTTTCTCCCAGGGGAACGGGCTCGTCTTGACTTGTCTTGGGTCATTTCTGTTCTTTAGACACTTGAGTGCCTCTGGATTCATTTTATTGGCCGGAGGGCAGGACTGAATGATTCTTAAACCTACTTATGAAAAGGCATAGAATCTGGGGGGGGGGGGGCGGCACCGTGGGGGTGCAGGTTGTTAGCATTAAGTAGTGGTTTGAATTGGAGGACTGGCAAAGGGGAAATTAGCAGGTCCCATAGGGGATCAGTGAGGGCAGGTCACTGGGGCAACATGAGGAGATAGTAGATGGGGGCATGGTAATGTCCTCCCTTTCCACAGCTCCTGTCCCCACTTGCCAGCAAGGGTGGCAGGAAGTTACAGGGACTGGGAAGAGGTGGGAGAGGACAGGGCAGGGTGAAGGGTGGGTTTAGCACCCTAAAGCCTCCGGTCACCCCGGGAAGGTCAGTCCAGTACATGCCGGGTGTCAGAAAGTGCCCCCCCACCCGCCCCAGTGAAGCCAGGGCACTTACAAGATAGTAATCTCCAAATTCAGATTGTCAGTCACCAGGCCAAGCTGTGATGGATGGTCCCTTCTAGACCACAAGGCCTGTCTCGGGGCCCCAGGTCTTGAGAGAGCTTCCCTCCAGAAAGAAAACTCACTCTCCCCAAAGTGCAATGACTTTTTAAAGGGGAAGAAGGATTTTTTTCTGGGATCCAAGCCCCGACTCGTCAAGCCAGCAAGAGCAAAACCATTAAGGCCAAATACCCTGAAAATTGCAAAACTGTTTCAGGCTAATTTGAGTCTGGCTGTTAGCAACCTGTTTCCTCTATGGCTGCTGTCAATCTATGTTTAACTTTGCGGTGACAGTCACAGGGGAAAAAAATTGGAAAAAATAGTAGCAAGGACGTTCAGTCTCCCTCCCTCCCTCCCTCTCATACATATGCACATACAGCCATGTATTACACATACGTATCTACACACACACACACACACACACACACACACACACACCTGACAGAGGGTCAAAACATGTATTAGATCTTCTTTTCTTTTCTTTCTTTCTTTTCCTCTAAGAAAGCATAGGCTCCTACAGAAAGGACAGGAAGTGTTAGACTCACCCTGCTGGAGAGTAGATCCTGTGGGGGAGATTCCTAAGCTCTGCGTAGTTAGGATCTTAGGGCCCATCCAGCCTGGCTAGATCTGGGGAACATGAGCACACTCTTGTCTCTGTCCTTCTTTCTGTCTCTTTCTTTGCTTTATTGAGGCATAACCGTCCAACAATAAACTGTGATATGTGAAGCATACAGTTTGGCCAATTTGACAGGTATGTTATACCCACAAGGCTATCATCGCGACCTCTTGTGAATCTACCTGACACGCTCAGGTTTCTGTTATTTCTTTCTTTCTTTCTTTTCTTTTTTTTTTTTTTTTAAGTCTGTTCATTTATTTTGAGAGAGGGAGAGAGAGCATGAGGAGAGGAGGGGCAGAGAGAGAGAGGGAGAGAGAGAGAGAGAATCCCAAGCATGCTCTGTGTTGACGGTGAGATGCGGGGCTCAAACTCACCAACTGAGATGATGACCCAAGCCGAAACCAAGAGTTGGATGCTGAAACGACTGAGCCACCCAGGCGCCCCCCCCTCCAATTTTTTTTTTTTCCAGATTTCTGTTTTTAAAAAGGTATCTTCCCCAGTGAATATATTTAGTGATCCGTGTGCTTGAAGGAGTGTCTGCCCAACGGGGTGTGTACTTTGTGTGAGGTTTGAGCACAATCGAGGGGATTGTGTATCTAAATGCTCATGGGTCTAAAAATGTGTGTCTCCAAATATGAATCTGGATGGATAGGGTTCACAGGTGGGAATTTTTAAAAAAATTTTTTTAAACGTTTGTTTATTTTGAGAGTGGGGGGCACAGCATGAGTGGGAGAGGGGCAGAGAGAGAGGAGAGAGAATCCCAGGCAGGCCCCACCCTGTCAGCACAGAGCCCGATGTGGGGCTGGAACTCGCGAAACCGTGAGATCATGACCTGAACTGAGATCAAGAGCTGGACAGTTAACCGGCTGAGCCACTCAGGTGCCCCTGGGTTTTTTTTTTGTTTTTTTTTAATTGGTTGGGCCATAAAGGTTTTTGAGCCCACCTGACATCCAGAAGAGGGATTCCATAGGAGAGAACTTGCAGTCACTGTCTCCCATATGAGGTTTCCCCCACTTTTTAGTGGTGAAGTACCAAAGGCACTCATGTTTATCAGGAGGTAGTCTAAAGCAGTACATTTTTCCAGTCCAGTCCAGGGCCCCTCCAGACGTTCCCTGCGTGGATATATGACGTGTGACTTGACTAAGAGGGCCAACCTGTGTGTGGTTTGTGGACTCTGTCTTGTTCCCTTATGGTCCCACCTGGGCGAGGAGTTGAGACCTCTTGGGCAGGAGCCACCTGGGCTGCTGCTCATCGTTGCATAAGGTTAAGGTGGGACTCTGGAGGCGGGCTGCCTGGGTTGAAGTCCATTCGATTGGGCATAGTTCCTGGACTCAGTTTTCCTCCTCTGTACAATGGGGATAACACAAGCATTGTTTTTATCACTGTGAGGACCAAACGAGATAATCCTCGGAAAATTCGTAGTGCTGAGCCTGGCAAAGAGTAAGCACGGTTAGTGATGAAGTCACTGACTTACCGCTCAACCGATCCGTTTGCAACAGGGCAGCTCCTTCCAGAACACACGCTTGGAAACCCTTTGCCCTGCCCTGGCTACGCTGGGTTCCGAAAAACTGAGATTTTAAAGAAGTTCCTCTTACTGTGGTTGCACAACAGCTACAAACATTAGTCTTTGCGGTGGAGTCGGTTCGTTCCCCGAACATGCCATCCATTCAAGGGCTCTTTGCCCCATATTATGCTTTGGAAAAATGAGCAAGGACGGAAAAGCCATCCGCGTGATTAAATCGCCAGGACAGTTCGGGACACTGACGAGCCGCTGATTTTTGGTGTCAAGGGCCCGGTGCCTTCACGATGCCCTCTCTCTGCTTGGATGCGGGTACCAGGCGGAGGCAGGTGCGTGGCAGGGTTCGCGCGTTGGGCTGCAGTCACGCACCCGCACGCCGCCGGGCTCCTGATGACACGACGTATTTCCTCAGCCCAGCTGTGATCCCCAAGCTGGATTTGGGAGTTATTTCCTCAGATGGTTGACAGCTTGGAAAAGATATTTAAAAACTCGACTCGTCCAGAACGACGTTTGCTCTGTGAAACACGTTTTTGTAAGGTTTTCACTGAAGCTGTCAGCAGCGTCCAGAGCGATCCCTAGAAATATTTAGGTGTTAAAAAAAGGTCACGTGGGCATTTCATTTCTCTGCTCGCGCAACAATGGCTGTGTTTGCAAGCGGCCGTCCCCCCGATATTAACTTACCTCGCCATTAAGAGGCATTTTTTCTTCCTGCTTAAATCATTGTGTAAGGAGCCTGTATTTATGAGGTATGAGCTTTCTGGTTGGGACCAGGAAATGAACCCCTAATAGAGAGACATAATTAAGATTTTTGGCCCTCGCGAGGGTGTTTTTTTTTTCTTTTTTTCCAAAAGCAAGAATTCCCAACAATTATTCTCATTAATTTTTACAACCTCTGTCTCACTGGTCCGAGCTGGCATTTATATTTGTTTTTTTTTCCCCCACCGCCCCCCCCTCCCCCGGATATCCGGTTTTATGCTGACTTTGGAGGGAAGTCAGTTTCAGTGGAGCCTTTTTAGTGGAACTCAGACGTCTGACTCTATCAGCCTGTGTGCCCGTGAGTGAGCGAGCGACAGCACACGGCGGTGTGTCAGGAAGGACGTATCCTAGAGGCGGTTATACGGAACAAGGCGGACTTTGCCGCCTTTAGCTAAGCTTGTAGGTTAACGTTTCTCCAGGGTGATAATTCTTAATAACCTACGGGCGTCTGGACTCAGTCTACAAAGCCAGATGTGTGTAAGAGCAACCTACCTAGGGGTACTTGTAGCAGATTGTGTTTGTCCTATGCGATCATACTTTTGGAAGCGCAAAAAGTAGGTAAGCAGTAAACCTTTTGGTAAGGAGTGGTGTCAGGGAAAAAGATTTTTGCTGATAAAAGACTTCCTCCCCCCCTCCCCCCCCTCCCCCCGCCCCTGCATAATAATTGTTTGTCCTGAGCGCTTGGAGGAACAGTGACATCATGGACCAGGCATTAATTCAGCCCCGATACCACACCCTGACTGTCTTCAATATTTCCAGAGACTGGCTTCAGTCACTTGAAGGGGGGGGGGGGGATTGGGGGCGTGGAGTGCGGCAAGGATTCCCTCCCTCCCTTCTTAAATGATCGAATATTTACTTAGCATATTGAGAATCTCTCCCCCTCCTTTATTTTTATTTTTATTTATTTTTATTTTTTTTTTCAACGTTTATTTATTTTTGGGACAGAGAGAGACAGAGCATGAACGGGGGAGGGGCAGAGAGAGAGGGAGACACAGAATCGGAAGCAGGCTCCAGGCTCTGAGCCATCAGCCCAGAGCCTGACGCGGGGCTCGAACCCACGGACCGCGAGATCGTGACCTGGCTGAAGTCGGACGCTTAACCGACTGCGCCACCCAGGCGCCCCAACGTTTATTTATTTTTGAGACAGAGAGAGACAGAGCATGAAAGGGGGAGGGTCAGAGAGAGAGGGAGACACAGAATCGGAAACAGGCTCCAGGCTCTGAGCCATCAGCCCAGAGCCCGACGCGGGGCTCGAACTCATGGTCCGCGAGATCGTGACCTGGCTGAAGTCGGACGCTTAACTGACTGCGCCACCCAGGCTCCCCTCCCCCTCCTTTAAAAAACAAAAACAAAAACATGATTTATGGTCAGTTGGGTTGCATTTTATTGTGACAAAGCCTGAGTGGGAAATAAAAGCTCCAGGAGGGGATGGGTCTTTGGACTCCAAAACAGAAGTGGCTTCGGGAGTGCACATGTTAAAGACTGTTTTCCTAAGAGATTTTATAGACTTTTCTACTCGTTCCGAAGAGTCAAGTCAAGATCAGGAAGTTGTAGGAATGGGCATGGTTTAAAAAAAAAAGAAATGAGGGGGGAAGGAATGTGTATACACATAAATACCCACACCTACTTTAAAAGTTTTAAAACAGATTTTGTTTTTATAAGAGAAGTTTTAGGTTTACAGCAAAGTTAAGTGGAAAGTACAGAGAGTTCCCATAGACCCCTTGCCCCCCACCCTTCCCAAAGGCTCCCTCACCATCAACATCCCCCACCAGAGTGAGACATTATTACAATCGATGAATGCACATTGACACATCGTTATCACCCGGAGTCTAATTTAGGGTTCATTTGTGGTGTCGTACATCCTGTGGGTTTGGACAAACATATGAGGACGTGTGTCCGCCGTTAAGTATCACACAGAATAGTTTCACTAAATGTCCTCTGGGCTCTGCCTTTTCATCCGTCCCTCCCCACACAACTTCTGCCCACCATTGACCTTTGCCTTTCTAAAATGTCCTACGGTTGGATTCATACACCAGATCTTAAAAACGTTAATTTTATATGGTTTTTTTTCATCGCAAACGCACACACATGTACACATACACGATATAGTAATTTCACACTCATTATAGCGTCTTGGGGTGGGAAGGAAACCTTATAAAGCCATCTCTTCTGGAAAACAGAACATACCAGAATGCCTGCCCCCCCGGATGTGCCACGGATGAATTATGGGTGCATTCACTAATTACTCCTGGTTTCTCAAAGAAACGTGCTCAGTTTCTCAAAGTCTGCAGCGCTACTACGGGGGGTGGATGAGGTGTTTTTCGTGTGTACTTGGCATCTGATGTGACCACAAAGAGAAAAGTGTTCTCGCTTTGATTATCTTTCCGTTCATCTATCAGGGAGAGAGTGCAGAACCAATTTGCGTAAGTTCGTCTCGAAAAGTGCCTCGTCTCCCCTCGCAACAAAGTGAGGGCGGGCCTTGGATTTAGAACTTTCTGTGGGTGCCAGCAGAGAGAATTTGATACAATAGTTTTCCTTTTATTGAATAGCTGGTGATTCTGGTTTGACGCGTAGAGAAGGTTACATGTATGAAATAAACGTAAACGAGAAGGGCTTTGACTGAGATCACGATACTAAGCAGACCAGCGTGCCGTATAGATAGGGTACAATCATGATAACGAAGGTGAAGTTAGTGTCACTGAATCTGCCTTGCTGGCTGTAACGGTGATTTGATGAGGGCGCCTGGGTGGCTCAGTTGGTTGAACGTCCGACTTCAGCTCAGGTCATGATCTCGCAGTTCCTGAGTTCGAGCCCTGCGTCGGGCTCTGTGCTGACAGCTCGGAGCCGGGAGCCTGCTTCGGATTCTGTGTCTCCCTCTCCCGCTCGCACTCTGTCTCTCTATCTCAGAAACAAATCAAAACATTTTTCAAAAAGTAAACACATAAACATAAAAAAAGAATCCTTTTAAAAAAAGTGATTTGATGCATAAACATGCGATTCACACACAGCTTTTAGGAAGTACTTCTAGCAAAGTCCATACGGTTGGACTGTTTCCCCTGTTCTGTTACTGAGTATTGTACATTACAACCGAAATTTCCAAGAACAGGGATCGCGCTTCTTTGTCTAGAAGATTGAAGGGGTTTGGAGCGGTCTGACAGATATCATGTACGTTACCATTCTGTATTTTGGTATTGATTTAATTAGACACCGTCTTCTACCTGGGCTGGCTATAACCCTTGTCTGTGAAGCTGAATGAACCCGGCATGAGGCAGAGCAGAATTTTGGAAGCAGTCGAGTTTTTCCAAACGGCGATCGCCACGCTGCGGGGGGGGGGGG